TAGGTGATATATGGGAGTCGTTGACACCTAATATCTGACAAAAAGGAAATGCTCACCACAAGAACAAAATTTCTAATTAACAAAAAAAAAAATAACAAGTCAATTCTCATATAATTGTTATTTTGATCCCTTGATTGCTTCCACTGTGAAAATGGAAACAGAAACACTCATGGATGTTCTTTTACAATTCTTCAAAGAATGAACCAATTTCTTTGTGTAGAAAATGCAGTGCTGCATATTCATCACTTCTACCCAAAACATAAGAGTTGAAACTAGCAAAATAAAAACTAATTAAGCACCCATACGAAAAGCTTGGAGCTAGCGTCGAGGCGTGGGGCGACGAGCGGAAAGCAGCGATGGGGCGACGAGCGGCGAGCAACGATGGACTGTTGAAATTTAAAATAAAGTTTAATCAATAATAATCAAATAAATATCAGAACATCCTAGATATAAAGGGTATGTGCTAGTGTGTGGAATTGTGTAGAATATAATTAAATGGGGTTAGTTGTTGGTTGGGGTTTAAAAAATGGAGAAAAAGATCCACACAAGTATGGCGGTTGATGGAGATTTTATGTTGGGGGAAGGCCTATAAGTAGGCTTGTTTGTAAACGAATGGAATCAAGTGAGCAGAAGCAAGAAACCAAATAAGAAAGATATCTCTTCAAAAGCCTCTGTCCAAAATTCCCTCTACAATTTTCTATTCTAAAAGCTCTATACGAGCAACCCACCATTTGCCAAAACTTCCCAATTCCATTTCAAGCCACGTGCCCACCGAAATATATAAGAAAATAATTATTTTATTTCCAACAAAGTGGTATCAGAGCCCGAGTTATTTCTGAGTATGCTATGTGGTTATAGCGTAGTCTAAACATCCACATAAGAAAATAATTTCTCGTGTTGTTGTTATCACGATTTTCCCATGGCCAAATAATCAAGTTTCCCCATTCAATTCCCCCACCTTAACAAAACCAATTATAAAAATTGGTGCATTAGTATGAAAGCCTTGCTGGGATCCCAAGATGTTTGGGATATTGTTGAGAAAGGTTACAAGATTCCCGCAGAGGATTCTCGACTAACTTCTGCTGAATAGGAGGTATTGAGAAAGAATAGAACGAGTGATCAAAAAGCACTCACTCTTATTCATCAATATCTTGATGAATCCATGTTCGAACAAGTAGCAGATGCTACCACGGCGAAGGAAGCATGAGATATCTTGCAAAAGGAAATCCAAGGCGTGGAACTAGTAAAGAAGGTTCGACTTCAGACACTCAGAGGAGATTTTGAATCAATGAAAATGAAGGAGGGTGAATCTGTTTCAGATTACACCGCCTGTGTGAAGTCAGTCGTCAGCAAACTGAAGCAGTATGGGGAGAAAACTGAAGAGACCAAGGGGTAGAGAAAATTCTACGATCGCTATTACCGAAGTTTGACTATGTGGTGGTGGCCGTGGAGGAAGCCAAAGACTTATCATAATTGACGGTGGATGAAATTATCGGTTCATTGCAAGCACACGATGAAAGACTGTAATACCCCGATATTTAGGTCTAGCTTTGACTGAACGGCTGGGTCGACGATTACGTACGAAAGAGTGCAACCGTGAATTAGGAATAATAATAATAATAATAATAATAATAATAATAATAATAATAATAATAATAATAATTTATTATCATCATCATCTTCACGTCCCCATTCAACTTAACATTATTATTAGTATTAGTATTGTCATCATCACCAAAACCAGTCCATTCCTCCATCATCAAACGACCCCTTACCAATCCATTATTATCATTATCATCATCGCCCGAACGTTTTCGGCAACATGAAAAGGATAAAAGAAAAATTAAAGGAAAACCTCCCAACGTACTCCGCTTTAAATCCCCCCCGGCATCGACCCAGTACGTTATTTCCCCATAACTTTCCTCTCCCATTCAATAAGACCAGCAACGCAAGGAAGCCTCAACGGTCCTCACCCGACCCATTTCCCTCACTCATGTTTCTCCCTCCTCGACGCAAAAGAGCAGTCAGCGGCGGTGCAAGACAATAACCAGTAGAGCAGTGATTCGTTCTCACCCGGACCCGGCATAGACGGGCGCCAAGCAGCCCCGACAACGCAAATCTCGCTCAACGTCGGACGCTCTAGAGGTAAGAAGCGACGACTTCATTGCGATTCCAAGCTGGTATTCGTATATATAGCTAATCATGGTGTTGACGGAAAGGAATTGGGCGCCTCGTCGGAAAGTACGTCGGAGGTACCAGCATAGTCGACTCTGACCATTCTTTAAAAGATGGGTACGGTTGCGAAGAGTACAATCTATGGAGTATCCCGGTCTGGACGGAATCAAATTTGGACGACCGACGAGGGAGATACAAGCCTCGAAAGTTTATGACGCAAATCGGATAGTTCAGATACCATTGATGGCAATTCAAAAAGTTTTTGGACCATAACTGTAATTTTCCATAGAGGTCAGAGTTCATCGTGTTGACTGGAAAATTACAAAACCGATACATGGTATTTTGAGAACTGACAGAAGGTTTATTTTGGCCATAACTCGATGATTTGGCGTCCGATCGAGGAACCGTCTGCGCCTATGGAAGCGAGGAGAATTATTATAGGAGGGAGTTTGGAATTTTCAGAGTCTAATCAGAGTCGGTTTCGACGGTACGAGGTGATTGTTCAAGGGGGTAAATTCTATGCCTTACGTATTTTTCAAGTATTCGTCTTACGTGTTTAAGAAGTTGTTTCATGTGAAATGGTGTGCTTGCTTATGTTTATGGGTGATGATGTGTGTTCTTTTGATTTATAGTTTGAAGGGTATGTCTATGAGCTTTGAGTATTTAATTAAATCTTTTACGTTTCGTTTGACGATTAAGTTAAAGTGATAAGAGCAAGAGAAAGTCATAAGCAAGAATAAGTTAACCTCGCTTAGCTAGCCACTATCTAGATGGATTCCTATCGGACAGTGATAAGTTCTGCGGTAGTTGATCACTACCGGATGGTGATACGTTCAGCGGTAGTTGGTCAGGCGTGGAGCCGGATGGTGATGAGTTTCGCGGTCTCCATTGCCTTGGTTTAGGTGCGCTACCGGATGGTGATACGTTTCGCGGTAGTCACACCGTAGTTTGACACCAGATGGTGATTCATTCCGCGGTGGTCAAACCCATGTGAGAGACACCCCATTGTGAGGGTAGCCATGTTTAAAGTAAGTAAGTAAGAAAGTAAGTAATGTTAGTAGTTGCGCCAACTAAGTCGAAGTAGGGGCCCCACAATAAGATAAGGGATGGATAACACGGTCTTAAGAGTTAAAGTTTTTAAAGGGTGTAAGTAAGAACAACTTCCACCAGCTAAAGTTAAGTGTTTAAAGTGAAGTACTCAAGTATTAGAGGTTTTAAAACGTAAGGGCATAGACTGACCCAAACTCACTCACCAGTTTGAAGAGGAAGAGCTAGAGCAGCAGCTAGGGAGCAGCGAGTTCGAGGGGAACAGTTCGAGGGTAACCAGCTAGAGGAGAGTAGTGCAAGCATCACGGAGGATGCCTAGTTAAGGTTTTCAGTAGTAGTGGCAGTAGAGACTACTTAGTTATTTACATTTTATGATTATGAGTATAGACTGGAGATCAGGTTGAGATTTTTAAGTATTGAGTTTAATTTGCCCACGTGTTAGGGCGTTTCTTTGAACTACAAGTGTGTGATTTCAGTATTTTATTTATTAAAAAAATTTCCGCCGTAGTTTAAGATTTGAGTATTTTATTTTCAAGGGTATTTTAGTAAAAGTAGTGTCTAGCGGGACTAGGGTGTTTCAAAGACTAAATAAAAGAAATGAAGAATCGTCAGAACAAGTGCTAGCTACAAAAGCTAACACTGAGGAGAAAGTAGGTGCACGAGGAGGAGGTCAAAACAGAGGCCGAGGCAGAGAACGAGGAAAAGCCCGAGGAGCATATCAAAAAGTAAAGATGGAGGAAATGTCACGACGAACAATTATGAAACGTCCACCAGAGGCAGAGGTCGTGGTCGTGGACGTGCAATAGGAAATTGGAGATCAAATGAAGGTCGTGATAAATCCAACGTCCAATGTTATAATTGCTTGAACTACGGGCATTATGCAACGGAATGTTAGAGTCCGCCTAAAGAAGCGGAGGAGATGGCAAATAACATCGAAGAAGAAGAAGTCAAAGGCACATTGATGTTGTCACATCAAGGAGATGAAGAACTGAGAGATAACATGAGGTATTTTGATAATGCAGCAAGCAGCCACATGTGTGGAAAAAGAAACATGTTCGTGGATATGGATGAATCAGTGAAAGGAAATGTCGTATTTGGAGACTCCTCGAAGGTTCCTATCAAAGGCAGAGGAACTATACACATCCGGTTGAAGAATGGCTCACAACAATTTATCAGTGATGTGTACTATGACCCGGACATGACTAGTAACATCCTAAGTTTGGGTCAGTTGATGGAGAAAATTTATGAAGTCCACATGGTGAATCATCAACTGGAGCTGTTAAATGAGAAGAAGCAGTTGTTGGCCAGAGTCCCAATGTTGTGAAACAGAATGTTCACCCTGAACATTCAAACTAAAATGGCGAAGTGTTTGAAAGCATGTGTGAAGGACACTACATGGCTATGGCCATCTAAATTTTGGAGTTCTGAATTTACTCGGTCAGAAGAGGAGGGTGCATGGTCTGCCAGTGATCAATCATCCAGACCAGTTGTGTGAAGGTTTCTTAGTAGGGAAGCAATTCAGGGCAAGTTTCCCGAAGGAATCCCTGTCAAGAGTTAAAGCACCGATTGAGCTTGTCTATGCAGATCTCTATGGACCGATCACCCCAATATCATTTAGAAAGACCAAATATTTTCTGATGTTCATTGACAATTATAGTAGAAGGCATGGGTTTACTTCTTGAAGCAGAAATCATATACATTTGAAGCTTTCAAGAAGTTCAAGATGCTCGTGGAGAATGAAAGTGGCCGCTACATCAAAGTTATGAGATCTGATAAAGGGGGAGAATTTATGCTAAAGAAGTTCAGCAGGTACTTTGAATATCAAGGAATTCGCAGGTTTCTCTCAGTCCCCAGATCCCCACAACAAAATGGAGTTGTTGAGAGGAAGAATAGAACTATCCTCAACATGGTGAGAAGCATGCTGAAGTGCAAGAACCTACCAAAGGAGCTATGAGCTGAAGCTGTTGATTGTGCAGTCTAATTGCTGAACAGGTCACCAACAAAGAGTGTTTGGAATCAAACACCCCAAGAAGCATGGAGCGCAAGGAAACCAACAATCTCTCACCTCGGAGTCTTCGGAAGTGTCGGATATGTGCATGTACCTGATCAAGAAAGGAAGAAGTTGGATGAAAAAAGCAAGAAGTACATATTCCTGGGATACTCAGAACACTCAAAAGGTTACAAAAAGTTTGATCCGTGGAAGAGAAGTTAATCATCAGCAGAGACATAGTAGTTGATGAAGAAGCAACATGGGATTGGACTGATGAAGCAAAGAAGAATTAAACATTTTATCCATTCACTATGGATGAAAGTGATAATGAAGCAGACACAACTACACCTGTGACAAGTCCACCAAGTCACAGAGAGCCTGCCGGCCCAGAAGGAGAATCTAGTGAAAGTTCGAAAGAAAGGCCACAAAAGTATAAACTTCTTGAAGATCTATAAGAAGCTACAACAAGCATTGAAGGTGATGAATTGACACTATACTGTCATTTTATCGATAGTGCTAAGAAAGTTACTTAAGGAGTTGAACATGGCACAGGAAGAGTCAACTGCAATTTTTGTGGATAACAAGTCTGCCATGGCGTTAGCGAATAATCCAGTATTTCATGATCATAGTAAGCACATTGATACAAGAAATCATTTCTTGAGAGAATGTGTGGAGCATAAAGAAGTTATGCTGAAGTATGTGAAAATCGAAGACCAAATTGCTTATATTTTCAAGAAGCCGCTGAAGTAAGACGTGTTCATCAAGATGACGCTACTCGGAGTTACGACAAATTAAACTTTAAGGGGGAGTTTTGAAATTTAAAATAATGTTTAATTAATAATAATCAAATAAATATCAGAACGTCCTAGATATAAAGGGTATGTGCTGGTGTGTGGAATTGTGTAGAATCTAATTAAATGGGGTTGGTTGTTGGTTGGGGTTTAAAAAATGGAGAAAAAGAAAGACCACACAATTATGGAGGTTGATGGAGATTATCTGTGGGGAAGGCCTATCAATAGGCTTGTTTGTAACCGAATGGAAGCAAGTGAGCAGAAGCAAGAAACCAAATAAGAAATAGCTCTCTTCAAAAGCCTCTTTCCATAATTCCCTCTACAATTTTCTAGCCTAAAAGCTCTATACGAGCAACCCACCATTTGCCAAAACTTCCCAATTCCATTTCAAGCGAAACGTGCCCACCAAATTATATAGGGAAATAATTATTTTATTTCCAACAGGGACGACGATCAGCAAGCAGCGATGGGGCGACGTGCGGCGAGGGGGCGCGGAGATAAGTCTAGTCGTGGGGCAACGAGCGGCGGCGAGTGGCGGGGGGCTCATAGCTGGATCAAGGCATGGGGCGACGAGCGGCGGCGAGGTGGCGACGAGCTAGGTCGAGGTGAGGGGCAGGAGAGATGTTCAAAGCAAGATGCTTCATGCGGCAGTGAAACACAGGATTTGAACTATAGTGAACGGAGGCCAATGGAAGAGGTTGATGAAGTTTTCTAAGGAGATTGCGAACTCATTGAACCTCCATCGTGGCCAAAGCCAAGGCACGATACTAAGCCTCAGTGTTGGAGTGAGCAACAGTATGTTGCTTTTTGGATTTCCACGAGATAACAGTGTCACATAAACTAAGAAGCCTGATGTGGAAGTGAGATCATCAGGATCAGAAGCCAAGTCAGAATCAGAAAATACATGAAGCGAAAGAGGCCCATACTGCCGACTGATGCGAAGACTTAAAGTCCGAGTACTAGCTACATACCGAAGAAGGCGATTAACATGCTGCCAATGTACTGTCATGAGAGCATGCATAAATTGAAAAAAATGGTTTATGGAGAAGGCAACATATGGTCGAGTCGTCACAAGGTATTGAAGTGCACCAATCGCCTTTCGATAGAGATTGGCATCATCCTGAGAAGAGCCATTGGAGAGACGAGTCATGGACGTAAGAGTAGTAGAGCTCAACTTCGCATCATGCATTTGGAAGCGAGTACGAAGATCAACCACATACTTATGTTGTGACAAAAGGTAACCAGTAGCTGTAGGAATAATCTCAATACCAAGAAAGTAATTAACATGGCCAAGATGTTTGAGAGAGAACTGGGCGGCCAGCTGCTGACGAAACGATGCCAGGAAGGTAGATTTATTTCCAATGAGAAAAAGATCATCAAAGTACATCATAAAATATGCAAGTACCCCACCACGCTGATAGACAAAGAATGAGCGATCTGAACTAATCTTGGCAAACATGCAACGAACATGAAAGGAGATCAGCGTATCATACCGCGCACGTGAAGCTTGACGAAGACCGTAAATAGCACAATGTAGACGGCAGGCATGCGTGGAAATTGCAGATCATGAAAGCCAAGGGGTTGGGCCATATGCATTTCTTCCTGCAACGGGCCTTGGAGAAAGGCATTATGAATATCAAACTGAAAAATCGGCCAAGAGTGCGAGAGAGCGATGGTGAAGACTGTCCAAATGGTAACAGGCTTCAAAACAGGACTGAAGTTCTCATGAAATACCACCCAGGCATTGGTGGAAGTCCTTAGCAAGTCCCACGCCATACCCATCCAATAACATTGAAATGAGGCTGACGAGTAACCAAGTCCCATGTGTGATTAGCAGACAAAGAATCATTTTCAGCAGTCATAGCCCCATGCCACTCATGATAGCGGAGAGCCTCCTTAACTGACCGCTGCTCAAGAGGAGGAAGAGTGGATTGCTACACTTTGGTAGAGTTAGAACACTTGGGGTTAGGCTTCCGAATATTTTTCTTACCACGAGTGACCATGGGATGCGGAGTAGGAGGCAGTAAATACACCTCTTGACGAATAGCAGCCGAGGAATCGACCAAAGTGGTGCTGGTATCCGGAGATGAGCCCGTCGCGGTGGAAGTGGAAGAAGTGGGGGACGGTTGCTGAAAAGACTCGGACGAAGGATCTTAGGAGGTGGCCTGAGATGTGATGAAAGTGACTGGCGAAATTCAAGCAGAAAGCTAGTTCAACACCGAAGAGGAAGAGCTCGACGCGGGAGAAGGTGTGGGCGTGACAAGACCTGGAAAAGAGGATTCAACGAAGACAACGTGACGGGATAAAAACAAACGATGAGACGAGGGATCAAGACAATGATAAGCACTATATTGATGAGAGTATCCAAGAAAAACACAAGGACGGGAACGAGAGGCGAGTGTATGTGCAGAATATTGACGAAGCCATGGATAGCACAAACAACCAAAGACACGAAGTTTAGAATAGTTAGGATCCTCATTGAACAAAATAGTAAAAGGCACCTAACCACAAAGAGACAAAGAGGGAAGACGATTAATAAGATACACTGCAGTAGAAAACACATAGGACCAGTAAGTAAGAGGAAGGCAAGCACGATGAAGCAAAGTAAACCCAGTTTCAACAATATGACGATGCTTACATTCAGAAAGACCATTGTGATGTGGCGTATAGGGCGAAGTTAAAAGATGAGTGATGCCATGGGAAGCCAACTCATGACGAAGTTTTTGAAATTCGTCCCAACCATCAGTATAGAGATGACGAATGGTAGTAGAGAAATAATTTTCAAAAAGACGTTTGAATGCAATAAGACATTAAGCACATAAGATTTGTAGCGAAGTGGACAAATCTAGGTATAACGGGTAAAATTATCCACTTAAACAAGATAATACGAGTAACCATCAACATAAGCAAGAGGATTTGGACCCCAAACGTCAGAAAAAATCAAATCCAAAGGACGAGAATTAGACAGACTCGAGTGGCCAAACGGTAGTTTATGACTCTTTGACGGAAAAATACGAATGCCAAGGAGAATAAGACAATGAATTAACAACAGGAAGCGAAGAACACGAATAAACTAGACAAAACACTAGACGAAGAATGGCCAAGGAGACAGTGCCAAAGATTCGAGGTGTGATGATTAGTAAGCAGCGCAAGACAAACGGCACCAGAACCCCCTCCAAGCGCATACGTATCACCCTTGTTCCTTCTTGTCAGTAGAGCCGCCGCCGTTTCTAGATCCTTCCCAACAAAACAATGGGCAAAAAATTCCAACGAGATGGGATAAGTACAACACAGTTTAGCAACAAAAATTAGTCGTTTACGAATACCAAGAACACAAAGAATATCACGAATAGAAAGGCGACAAGTAGAGGTAGGTAAAGAAGACGAGCTAATATGCATGATGGCCAAACATAAACCAATGCCTAGATAAACCTCATCGGGACCATTATAATCCAAATAGAAAGCAAGATTGCCAAGGTCGGGAGTGACATGGTGAGTAGCAGCAGTATCAAGAAGCCAGGAGTCATCAGAGGAAGCCTGGGGCCGAGAACGAGAAGGATGGTGGTGTTTGCCTGCAAACGTTTATTGGGAAAAAGTTGGAAACACATACGAGCCGAGTGACACGGTTTTGCAAAGTACTGGCAGATAACTCGAGAGGGGCAACGAGCTTCATCATCGTCATGAGGAGACTCCCAGCCAGCAGACGAGGTTGTCAACGAGGTGACGAAGGGAAGAACACCTTCCGAAATAGAGGCAAAGATGTCATTAAAAAGCAGTTGATCCTGTCGAAACCAACGTAAATAGGCAGGATTGCAGGTGGCAGCACTATCGACCATGAGGATTAGCGACAGAGCCATCAAGGTAACCAACGAGATCAAGCCCAGCAAGAAGGGAGATAAGCTGCACACACCAAAACAGAAAGTTCTAAGTAGTAAGCTTCAACGGCAGAGTGGTCGCCGGATTGAACGTGATCAAGGCAGCCTCGGTGGAAACAGACAGAGTGCCGCTGGACAAGACTGTGCTGGTTTTGTCGACATGGAGGCTAGCTGATAGAAAACAAAGAAACCGGTCTCGCAGAAACTTGAAAAAAAAAACTAAACTAGAGAAACTAACTCTGATGGGTTTGTATGAATTGTGTGTATTATCATTAAGCAATAAGGGGTATTTATAACCCAAGGAGTACATGAGAAGTAGAGTATAGAACAAGGAGAAGGAGTTAGAATAATTGAGATACAAAGAATACTAAACACAAACGGATAAGACTATTTATCCCTAATACAATACATGAGTAGTTGAGTTCATGTGACAATAAATAAAAAGAAAAAAATATTTAATGCAAAAAATGATGAAATTCATTGGAAACCAGTATCCTTATTTTCTGGCTAAGTATTCCATTTAATGCTCTATATGTTCCTCCTGGAGTGTAGCTCATACCGAGTACGAAATAATGTTACCCATTTAATGGCAGTAATCATAGTTTCCATGAGGAGGGAGAATACTATAAGCTTAATCACGTTTAATTTTTGATAGGGTCAATGAGAAGGGACATGACTCTCTTCTTGGATCCAGCATCCGGAGCACCATGGTTGTCTCCGGTCAGATAAGTATAGTGAGAGATCCTCGCAAGATTAATCACCGATTGAAGAAATGATTTAGAAAACACATGTTCATCTGTCGGCGAATACTCATGTTTCGTAATTAATAGTAACTCTTCGTTCATATTCTTCCATGCTACATCAATCAAGGATTTCATGTGCTCCCTGGCATGCTCCTCGCTGACTCCGGTTTCATTCATGTAGCATGAGATTGCATTCACTGTTTCACCTCGTGCCATCTCCTCCTGGTCATCCAAATTCAATTATATTTAATCCCAATAGTTCAAATCGATTATCTTTGTAAATTCAAAATGGAAACAAAACAATGATTTCAATTCCAAATCCAATAGGTTTGAAATGCGTTATAAGTTTTAGCCTCAAGATTCTTTTCCACGAGGCGCTTACCGATGAAGTTGCTAGATCGTTGCATAAACGAAAAATGATAGATGGCCAGCGAAGAATTTCGATCGATTTCATCAAGTGGCACAGTGCCTCCTTTGAGAAATTGATATCATCATACGAAAGACAATATGTATGAATCAGAATGACAGCTCCTGAAACAGATTTCCATGCATTTTCCATGTATTCGGAAAATGTTGGTGGGTTGCACTCTTTGGAGCTCCACTTTGCTTCTTTGAGGAATGCCTTCAACATATCAGCCCACTAAAATAACAATTGATATAGAAAAAAGTAAGCACTTCACTAATTGAATGATTGGCATAATTAAAGATTTGGGAGTGAGGGGGGAGGGGGAACTTACTGCTTTAGTGAGGTAAGGGATGGTGTTGTGTCCATACTTCTTGAGAGCTTCATAACCCATCTCGTTTATGGTGTTATAGAAAGCTAAGAAACATAACTTCATGTACTTCGGCATGCTTGATACAACATTGATGTCCCACCTAAAAACAAATTGAAAATAAGATAACAGTCAACTCGTTAACTTCTAAGGTTCTATGGTCAAGTAGTAAAAAGAGTATATTCTATTGATAGCAAAATATATGTTTGGAATGTACTTATAAGAAAAAATACCTTTCTACAGCATCGGTGAATAATTCCAACTCATCCATAGTGCCATAAACATCGTAGATATCATCGATTATGGTGATAAACGAAGTAACTTGTGTTAAAACCTTGCGACATGAGCTAAACCGAGGCTCGAACATCATTCCGACGGTCCAAAAAAAGCATTCCACCAATCTGTCTCTACTGAAACTAAGCTCTTTGGCTAACCCCAAATTGTTCCACCACCTTCAAATAAAAGTATTAAGCCATTGTCATTAAGAACCACTATCATCACATCCATGTGATAAATTTGGATGCGGGTAACTAGATACATAACAACTATCATTAAAAAACGGAGATATATTTGATCATCCTCTTGGAAACAATATAATCAATGAAGCGAGTTATATTTGAGTGTTTCTTTGTCTACCGAATAAAAGTTGAAGTTGGGCTATTGACGTAGCAGAATTTTGTTATTCAGATAGACATACTTAATTCAAGAAAATTAATTACCTTGATGTGACCTTAAGGTCACCTTGGAGTACTGATTGAGCCATGTTGAACTCTAGCTTGGCTAGTTCAAGCAACGCCATGTTTGCTCCTTCTTTCTTCTTATATGCTTCAACGTACCATCTTGCTTCTAGCATCACCATTCTCCTATGCAACGGAACCTCCAAAGAATGACGAACCAGTTCTTCCATGTTTTCATCACCATTACTCGAGCTGATTTCCATTAGGAAGGTGTTGAGACGTTCAGTCGCATGTTCCCTCGCCTTGTCCAAAATGGCTTCACCCTGGTAGGCAAGATATGAAGCTTCATACAGACTCAGCATGTCTCTCACATCCTCATGGCCGCATCCCTTCAAGAGGGCTTCATTATTCTTGTCACTCACCAAATCCTTGAACACATCTGTACATATGCATAAATTAAAGCCTCATAATCATTTAGCCCTCCAAAACTAAAATTGAATCTTATATAACTCCATTAACAAATCAATACCTTGCGAGACGAAGTAACCATTTTGTCTAAGAAGTCTGAAACCAAGAGCAACCTCGTGGAGGGACATATTACTACTCATGGTGTTACAACCTTCAATAGAGATGAATTTACCCAGAGCTTTTTTAACATCATTCTCGAGCCGATGGGCCAAGCCCAATCTCTGGATATCATCGATCAGTTCCAGTACACGTAACGAATTTTGCTCCTCCAATATGTAACTCTCCAGAACCATTCTGACCTCCCTCTCTAACATCACTGCCTTGTCTTTGTACCGTTGATTCTGCAGGAATATCCCCCCATGAACTTTTAGTATCTGATCATCATGCTTCAAGTCTTCAACTACATAAAAAAAAAACAAAAAAAAAAACAGACAATTTCGAAATTTGTTGAACTTACCTCGTTGCTGTCATTGACCTTGATGGACTGGAGAAACTCGTAACTCCATGTTGTTGGCTTGTAATTGGCCGACCGTCTGTGGTCCGCCGTAGTACTGCGGACCACCATGCTAAGCCGGCGATTTATTACCCTGTGGCTATTGGGTGATGATATTGAAGGAAGCTGGTGGAGGGAAGCAACACGGTTCAGGGAGAGGGTATGAAGACCGAAAACCATTGTGGTGAAAATATATGTTAGTCGCAGCTAGCTGTTACTTATGATCTTTCCAAGTGAGAGAAATGTGATTAGCTCTTTGCTCTATCAGTTCTGGTGGTTAATGGCGAGCTTTATATAGATAGATATATTGGTCGAGATCATGAATTTAACACTATTATTCTAGGATAATGTAGAGTTCGGCCCAAGTTTTTGTTTTAATTTTTGTTTATCAGCAGCAGTCCACCGGCATTTTGTGGTGTACAAGCTAGAATTGGGATCTGAAAAGGACGACAAAGGGTCCTGCACCATTCATTTCCTAACCAACATGAACGAACACTTACCGAAATAGTCCGAAGTGGGAAGAAGACAACTATTTGTCTCAAGAATATCCCAAGGTCTGAAGTGACTTAGAGTTTTGGACCACAAGATAATCGTTTTACACCTGAAGCTTACTGTTGATGGTGCCACCTGGTCTTGTGTTGCTGGAAGCCTGGAAGATTGGAGATGGCCAACCAAAAATATGTCTTTGGCTCGCATAGACATAATTTCGCATGAGGGTAACTAGACATATAACAACCATCATTAAAGGACCAATATATATTTGATCAATTCTTTGTCTACCGAATTAAAGCTGATGTTGGGCTATTGCTGTACCAAAAGTTAGTTATTTCGATAGACACTACAATCCACTTTTTTAATTTTGCATTTTTATTATTACTGGATGACATGTTGCACTTTATTGTGATCATTTGACTTGTTCATTTTAGTATTCGGTTGAGCATGCTTGTTGATTTAGTTTTATAGAGTTACGATGTGAAAATTGTATTTAAGTGGTAAAGTTGGAAAATATGAAAAAAGTCTCTTATCGAGAATGAATTCTAATAAATAGAAAACCTGTATATGTCACAATTTGTGCAAAAATTAAATTCACGTAACTCAATTTTCTGTTTTTAGTTATGGAGAATTGTATTTTATACCGAACATCTCATAAAGCATGATTGGTGGAGTAGTGAAACCATTTGATAGTATTGATGGAATTTCGTGAAAATATTGGTTAGTAATTTATGTAAAAAAAGATACAGATGTGAATATTATTTGATTTGATGAACAAATAAAATGTGGGAGAATATTATGTCAATATTAATTGCCATAATTTCTATCAAGAAATATTACTCTATAATTAAACCGATATAAATAAACAAGTGGTTACCTATTTGGATCACACCTATCTCGATCCAAATCCAATATTATCTGGTCCCCTTCTATCTCAACCTAGTTATTTCTCAAAATATAAAAAGAATGATGTAAAAGTGTCAGACAATTGCAACAAATATTTAAAGCTATAAGAAAATTGGTCGTAGTCATGACAATTTGAACACATCCCGCCAAATATTACATGACTTCTTATAAAAAAAAAAAATATTACATGACTTGGTCCGCGTTGGGGTCTTGCGCCGCCCCCTATCCCACGCGTTCTTGACCTGTTTTACTTTCATTTATCTTAATATTTAATTTTATTTCTCCTATTCTTACTCTACATAATTCATATTTTCCCTTTTTCTTGTACATATTATCTCTATAGTTACAAATAACTTTTTACTTCAAATTATATATAAAAATAGGTCGACCTGCCCAAACCTGTACTCGTGTGAGTATTACCGGACCGGACCCACACTTGAGAGCCTTAATTCTTAATTTGATGTTGGATTCATATTACTTATTTTTGTGTTGAGGTCGACTTATCCAAACCTGTATTCGTGTGAGTATTATCCGACCGAACTCGCACTTGATAGTCTTAATTTTTAATTTAGTGTTGGATTCATATTACTTATTTTTGTGCTGAAGCGGACATTTCAAACCCCAGCAATATATTTGCAACAAAGGGCCAAATGTAACACACCATCTACAAATTATTATAAGCCGATGTGCAAAAGCCTGATTTGCCACGTCATCCCTCGCAAATTAACCCGCACATTTCGGAGGGTCACTTTGGTCAATTCCGGACTCTCGCTGTCTTGCTCGCCGTCTTCCAAATTGAACCCGGAGAAGCGACGATTCTTCTTCCCGTCCTTCTTTGCTGAATCAAAAAATTGACTGGGTGCATGTGAAATATTCCCTCAAGCTCCTGTCCGCCGCCTTACTTCTGTGCATCCCAGTTTGCCGATCGGAAGAGGAACACGTCTGGCGAAATCTGATGCTCCATCGCAAATTCAGCCACCACTCGACCATTCCATGACCGCATCACAGTGACGGAAAATTGAAACCGGCGGCCGAATCCCCAGACACGATTCTGTAGCCGTATCCGCTCTCCCGACTGAAATCCTTCTTCCCGTCCTTCTTTGCTGAATCAGAAAATTGTGATTATGTCGGGCCTTGCTGTGCGCATCTTTTGAAGCAACGGGACGGGATTACTACTCCAAAGGGCCCTCGACCTGTAGACGAAATTCGGTGCCCGTCTTCCCCAACGAAATCCTGCTACCCGTCCTTCTTTGGCGCTGAATCGGAAAATCCAGGCTATGCTGGGCCTTTCGCTGCTCATGTATTGAACCTACATGGCGGGATTACTACTCTAACTCTACCAGGTATTCTATCCCCAAACGTTTTGCGAACTTGGTTGTGTTTGCTGGTGGAAAGCGACGCAAAATCTGCCGCATTTTTCCCAACGAAATCCTACTGACCGTCTTTCTTTGTGCCGATTTGCAAATTAGATTTTATTCCGGCCCTTGGTCTGCGCATCTCTTCAAGCTATAGGTCGGGGAACATATCTTGAAGTCGCAATCAATCTGCCGCTTTGATTTCTCCGAGCTTTGCTGTGTTTGTTGTTGGGTGTTGTGACTTACAAGTGGGCTGGGTATTGTTGTTGACTGTTTGGTGTATTTGAGTCTAGGACGCCTGTCTCCATTACATCCTGCTCTTGGTGGTTGTCTGTCGGTGCATTTTGCTCCCACCAGCAAGCTTTATTTGGGTATGCGTTGAAACTTTCAGACTGATAAGCATGTAGTTGGAATCAGCTTCTACCTTTTCTTGTCTTTTCCATTTTGCATCAAATCATAGTGATCCTGTTTAGAGGATTACAGTTAAATATTTGTAAGGTCAAACTCAACTCCAAAAGTGAGCTAACATAGCAGAATTGTATGAAGAGTAATGCGGCCTTTTATTTTCCTTTCCATTCTTTCATCTCTGCATCAGTGTCATTAGCTTACTTCTCTGGCTATTTGTTTTCGTTTGGGTATGCAGCAATGAGGCCCAAGCGTCAGCGCGAGGAACCTTCTTTTGCCTCAAATCAGCCTTCATTGAAGTCTAAACCTGGTCTTATTCGATGTAATATACTCCTGATGCTCTTTGTTAGTGGTTTTTTACATTTAAAGTCATGTAGATTTTGCGTTGAAGGTTACTTTGAACCATGTATTTCATTGTGTGTTTGTTAGGGAAAGGAAGAGCAATCTGTATCTCTCCTGAAAGTCCGACACTTGCTGAAGTCGACGCAGAGAGGCTGCGAATTGAGGGTGGTAAGTGAAGTTGATCTTAAAGACTTAGGCCTGTGAACATATTCATTTTCTTCTCCATGCCTATTATATACTGCCGATCTGATTGCACATCAAAGGAAATTCTTTTTCGGTATACAGTGACTTGATTTGTAGATGTTCTTCCCTGTTTACCTTCTTGATGATAGTTATATGCAAGTTGAAAGATCGACTCGGTCGCGTTGATCGTCATATTGCAACTTTAGCTAGGAGGAGAAGGAAGTTTCTTTTGGGGGTACGACGGTTGCATGGAGTGCGTGTTGTTTCAGTCCCAAGTATGTTGTTCTTTTCTTCTCTATTATCTATGGACTGCTTTTGAGTGGGGGTAGGGAATTGCAGCAGGTGTGGTGACCGTTTGTGATTTTGGTGCTATTAATAGTCTGTAGTTGGCATAGAGCAAGGAGTTTTGATTGAATATTTGATCCATTGTGTTTTTACATCTCGCATACAGCTAGCTGGAATTGTGAAACCTTTGTGTCTGTACATTAGTTGTTGTGGGTTAGGGTGATTTCTCTTTTCTTTGTAAAATGCAAATCCATGCTCAAGCACCTACAAACCTTTCAACATTTGAACTGAGAGTACCATCTCTAAATCTGTACATCCAGAACAGGCAAGAATGTAATGCTTGATTGGGGGTGCCTATGCTATTACTATATTTTGGTTGGACTTGGTGTGATTATGAAACTTATTTTGAACTTAATAACTTTGTTTTGTACCCCTTTGGCTATTCTTCTTTGTATGCTGTGTTATGATTTATTTATTCTTGGAGGTGATAGTTTGCGTTCAACTATGTTGTTCAATGAATGTTGTGTTTCAGTATCCGGATGTATAAATAAAACTTTTGCCACCACTAAGCTAATCACGGTCTTGAAGTTCGGTGATTCGCTTGGCAACATAACTATGTATCTTAGCATGCGTACGAAAAATGATGCTTTGATTTGTGATATTTGTTCATTATTTACTGAGTTGCATTTCCTTTCTATATTTCTTACTGCTGTACATTTATTATGCGTCTTATATTCTTCAGTGTATGATGTTCCTTTGAAGACCTTCCAAGCTAAGCATAACCGCGCTAGGAGAATGATCCAGATGTGTGAAAAACGGAAGAAATTTGGAGTACCTAGAGCATTTTATAGCCGTGGTAAGTCCAAATGCTGTTTAGAACCCAGCTTTGGTTCTTTGCTATTGTAGAATGCTTTTAATATATTTTTATTTCCCAGGTTATCCGATAATTTCGGAATTCTCAATTGGCGAGCCTGAATGTGTTTGCCAATATTGTGGAGCTGTTTTCTGGAGATGTGAAAGTACACGGGAAACTAAAGGAAAGATTCATCCGCAATTCAATTTATGTTGCAAGGGAGGGAAAGTCAAACTTCCTGAACGCCGTGACCCGCCTGAGGTTTTGAAGATGTTGTTGGAGTCTGATTCTGCTATTGCTCGCCACTTTAGAAAATATATTCGGCAGTATAATAATCTGTTCTGCTTTATTTCACTTGGTGGGAAGGTGGATCACGCTATAAATAATGGTCAGGGTGTGTATGTTTACTCAATTGGCGGCCAAATCTATCATCG